CTTTTTTTTTTTTTTTTTTTTTTTTTTTTAAATCAGCAAGTGCTAGAGTTGCCAAAGAAGAAATCTATTTCTGTATTTATGGTAAATCTATTAAGATGCTGTTTGAAGATCCTGTCTGAGTTTGAGTGAAAAAAGGTTAAGAAGAACCACAAGATGTGCTACACCTGAGAAGACTAAGTTAAGATGAGGGACCTTTCCTTACAGGTCACACATACAATTTTAACAACTGAAAGGACAGATGAAGTGTAAGAATTAAAGAAATCAAACAAATTCAAAGATCTAAACTACATGTGTTTAAGGATATGTAGTTCATGAAGATTTAAGAATACCTGTATATTTTTCCTCCCCTCTGCTTCTAGGACATTCCAACATAAAAGACATTATGGAAGAAGGTGTATGAAGATTTCAAAGTAGAAAACTAAAATAGAACTGATCACCTTGGGAATAACAAAAGACCAGAAAGGAAGAAAATGCAACAAAGTAGGAGAATGGAGTTTAGATAGGCGATTAGGCAGGCAATATTTGCCTTAAGGAAAGGAAAGTTTAGGTATGAGAAAAATACAGGAAGTTAGTACCATTCTTCTTAGTTCATATACTGGTGAACTGATACTAGTTTTAGGATTGTAGAAATTCCCATAGCCATCCAACCTGGATGTGTTTTTAAGTCTAAGGACTTTACTGTACCTTATTACAACTGGGTTTAATTATGAGGTGCTACCTCTATCCATACGAGTGGAATAAGTCACACTAAAAAAATTGTTGGTTTTTTTTTTGTTTTTTTTTTTTAATTAGAAAGGAAAAAAACACAAAACAACAATTGGTATTTACAGTTTAATACTTAAAATATATACTAAACTGGGTCAAAACCTCAGCAAGCTGCCGTTACTCAGGTTTTTTTTTTTTTTAAAGTGTGAAAAATGTGCAAGAATGTAATTCTGCATGGCACAGAATGAAGCAAGACATTAATTTTATGGTGCTTGTGAGACAATAAATTCATAGATATTTATTCTGTTGTCTGCAAATGACTTAAACTACACTGACGTCTAATAAAAAAGCTGATCCTTCAATTCCATTCTTAAAATGTTATAAGTTTTTTTCTAAATTAATTCACATTACAATACAAACTAAAATAAGGAAGCTGCAATTCAGCACTACTGCAGAGGCACAATATCACCATTTTAAATACATGAATTCAAGTGAAGCTTACATAAGTCTTTAAAAAGAAAGATCTAAGTATCATTTTCTTTGGTGAGCATTAATGAGGCTTCTCCAAAAATGCTTTACAGCATCTAACACACTGCTCATAAACAGCCTCGAAGTCCTTTTCATTCCCCTAGGAAAAATATAAGAAAAAGAAAGTAAAAAAAAAAAAAAAAAAAAAA